TTTGCCTTTGCTGTCGCTCCCCAGCGGTCATGCGGAACTCAGCCGGCATCATCGGTGAGAAGCTGGTTCTTCACGATTTCACACAGATAGAGCCTATCCTCATATTGCAATTTTTGTTCATCGTGCCTTCGACGTTCAGTTCCTGATATCTGGAAGGGGCAGCTGCCTGGGAGCTCCAGTAAGGACCAGTCCTGGGATAAACGGATCAAACAATGGCGCAGGGGCACCAGACTACCATGGGAGAATAGCTGGCAGTAGGTGAAGGGCTGCCATAACCTGGAGTCGAGGATCATAGCATTGTAGACACGCTGGTTATGTGCAAGGCTGGACATCTCGTAATATTTCGACAACGAAGCCAACTTCTTGTTGTTCATAGCCTGTTCCTTTTGCTCGGGACCAAGGTCGTCGAAGCCATCCGGTAGGCCGGGTACGACGGGACCGAAAGTGTAGTCCTTCAGTGGCCTGAGAAACTCGGGGAATCGAGCTTGTATGAGCAAAGGACAGATCTGAGACGATTGCCAATCGATAATCCCTTCAATGACACTGGGCTCGTTAGGAGAAACAAAAATGTTCCCCAGATGTAAGTCTGTGTGCCATAGAACAGGGTCTGAAGCACTTGTCACGCGTGGGTCTTGAGACAAGATCTGTAGTACCATGTTCATTTTTTCCAGAAGGCTTCGATATTCATCGACCGACTGTGATTCGTCGAAATGATGTAGTTGACGTTGCACCTCGGTCTCCGAACCTGCAATATGAGCAAGCTCGCGCTGGACAATCGACGACGCATATTCTGGAAAGTGCGTCCCTACGAGATATCAGTATCGCTCGTTACATGTCAGTGGCCTAGCACAGATGCAGGAATACCTACAAGGGCCTATATCTTTTGAGACTGATTGAGATTGGTCAGCGAGATTGCCGTGCCACCATGTTCGATTACAAGACGGTCCAATGCAAAATAGCTCTTCAGGGTCAAGCTCTGGCGAGAGTGGATACTGTCGACATGTTGCAGGCAACGAGTCACGGTTAAAAAGACTTCCGTATGCTGAAAATGAGATATCAGCAAGCTCCTGCTCGACTTGTACGACCTGATCGATAATTTTGTAGCGCTCCAAGGTGTCCATTGCCTCCCATGTCTCTGACAAGGCAACACCCCTGGTCCTTTCCATGATAATGAATTCGGCACCAACCGAATTAGCAGGGTCAGAGCTCCAGGCGATAATTTCTGGGACCGGAATAGACGTCCTTGACCGCACTAGAAAAGGAAAAGTGTAAGCACACGCCGACGCGAATAATGGAAAGCACGCCGAACATACGAAACTTCAGAGTGGCAACTTCTGAAGCCGTGGTTATTGATGGTGGACCGGCATTGGGACACGGGATTTTTGCGATGACCTCGTTGCCATCATCCATAGTGAGAAGTAACGCTTTGTTGAAGTTTCCCTCCAGCTTGACTACGCGAACACACCTCGTTGCATCACTGAAATATGCTGCAGCTCGGCGACAAAGACTTTCGAGGTCGAATGTTACATAACGCAGCTGCTGCTGGGCCTTTTCGTCAACGAGCCATCGACCTGACGTATAGCGAAAGAGATCTTCTGGTTTCCCTGCGGACTCTCTCATCGATATTGTTCGGTAAGGCGCTCGGCTCGGGTGCACCAACGCCGCATTGGGAGTGCGACTGATAGCAGCTAGAACCCTGTGAGATGGGAACTTTGCATGCAAAGGTCCAGAGTCAATCGATCGAGCACGACATAGAGACGAGCGCTGCCTCCACATAGTATGAGCGAAGCTTTGACTGGTGCCAGGGCGCCTGAAGTGCAAGAATCACGAGGCTCGGAGAAGAGGCGGAAAACGCGAGCGAAACGGATCGAATACCAAGAGCGAATCACGTGGAGTGGCCTGCCATCCTCACATACCCGCCAGTCGGAAGCCTTGAAGGCTTTCACCGAAAGCAGAAGCGAGTGATAGATACAGTAGTGAGTAAATAAGGTAGTATATACGCGTCTGTGTCATTTGTTTGGGTTTCAAGAAAGAGAGCTTGAACTTTTGAAGTAAGCCGACTACCATTTTGTGGAGGTGGGGCGACGGGCAGTGGAGATTTCCAGAGCGGACCTCCAACCCCGGACTCGGAGCCTAGGCCTGAACGTATTTTCAATAGGTTTTCAGACTCCCCCAAATAAGCTGCACTACCAGCGTTTGGAGGGTTGATTCATTCAAGGTTGGATGTCGACAGATCTAGTGTAGGACCTTGTTGGCCAATGGTTGCTTTTTTCTTGACTGTAGTGATGCAAAGGTCCCTCCCATATTTCAAAAGTCTCGATGTGACTCATAATTCGTTTCTTTGCAGCTTGACCGGATAAGCTGAACTGAGACCTATGGGAGAAGGCTTGGAGTGACTACGTAGACTGTACTGTCTGTAGCTTTCTGATAGAGTAGGTAAAGCTGACTGGGAGGAGTCTAGTCAGGTTACGTACCGGAGTATAGACAAAGACAAAGTACTTTTGATGTATCGTTGGGCTCTTTTTGAATGTGGCAGGCAGAGTGTACTCCAAAGTTCCAATCTTTGACGAATGGCCCCTTGTAGGACAATTGCCAAAGTCACACTTCCCCATCCTAGCGCGGTCAATATATGGCTTAAGTACAGCTGAGCGGACGGAAAGCCCTGCTTTTCACACCCTGTGGTCGTATGTACAAAACTGGTGACCTCACCTACATGGCTGATATCTTGCGTAGCAATCACCACCTGAAAGGCAGAGGTGGGAAAGGATGTCTGGTTCGTTGCCTCTTTGATATCAGCTCGTTCCTTGTTCACTCGAACTCTGTCAGAAAGTCCGGGTGAGACCCGTCGAGAGGCTGCCTGCCTTTCCTTCCTCCGATTGTCAACCGCCGGACCTTTTTATCCAGGACATCCCTCTCCCAGCCTCCTTGTTGATGTCCTTTCTCTTTGAATTCTGATATACTAGTCCTTCAGTACAGTTCCTCATCCGACCACGGCCTCTACTTTACATTCCCTTCTCTGGTTTGAAGACGCCGCCCAACCAACCCTGGAAGTTGTGGAGCCAGAAAAGCAGACTGAGTCGATTACGCTTGCGGACGCTCGCAGGAACATCCCCGGCGGAGATGAGGACGGCTGGAAGAAGGTGAGAGCCCGAACGGACAAAGCACTAGAGAACACACTGGGCTTGAAGGCAACAATGGACTCTATTCCTGGTGACGACTACTTCCGCTTCTGCGTACAGGCCAACATCGAGCGGCTGCCGGACTTCGCCCAGGCATACAGCAATGACCGTGAGTCCTGCCTCAAATCCCTTACATCCTATGCCGGGAAACGTTGGCGAAAGCGACTTTCCAAGGCTGCTCAACAGAATGGAAGAGAAAGCAGGCTGGTGAAGAGCAGCCCGGCCTCAGAAGACAAGTTTTGAGAACGCCAACCCCACAAGGGAGCAAGCGTGCTGGGACAGCCTCTCCGACCCCGTCCAACAAGCGTGCAAAGCCCGATGAGACAAACGCTGACGCTACCCCTACTTTGCCGGCCCGGATGCCAACGGCTGCAGAATCCCATCGGAGGAATTGTCAAGACGACCCTATTGGGGCCATCTTCGGCTACTATGATGATCCGGTAAAACCTCTGGCGCCGGGGATGGATATTGACCATTTCTGGGATTATGGAGATTGCGATCAAGAGGAGCCCGCCAGCGAGTGACAGCCTCTACGGCGATCCGCTCCCGGCTGTCGACGAGCGTCATGGATCATACGAGACGAGAAAATTACCGGTGGGGGATAAATGGCTCTCCGATGTTCTTTGGTAAGATAGCTTGCGCAGCTGAAATCTAAAGTGATATCTGCGAACGCCTCTACTTGGAGAGTAGATGGGTCCTCGCTCTCTGCGTCAAAAGGTCCCGGTTGTCCTAAAGCAGAAACAAGAGTAGTTCAATCACTTGATAATCCATGACGGATTTCAAGTCTTGAGGTGTCAGAAGTCTTTTGGATCCGTTTGTGTAACTGATTCTGCATAGAGGGAAAGCTTCCGACACCGCTTTCAAGAGAGACGGCTATGTAATCGGCTGCGCAACTTGTCCGTTATGGAAGAAGTAAGCATCATACACCCAAGTACTGTAGCTCCGAGGCACACCGGGTAGCCTTCTGGGGAATTTGTCCATAAAGATCTTCAGGCGGGCTATCAGAGGCAAAGCGGGCCATTTCCTATACCTTTGCATGGAGACCTGGATCTGCCTCCCGGATTGTATGTTAGTCGGAGTAGATCGAAGTCAGTGCAGCGTCTTCTCTTCTTCATCTGCGATGTTCAATTTTCGATTACGCAGAGAAATGTTGAACAGGAACCTGTCCAAGTGAGAACTCAGCGACAGCAGACTAGAACAATCGTTGTGCAGAGACTGGCAATTCAAATGCTGTGCTGTTTCCTAGTATTTGCCTCAATGACCAGTAGATAAGATGCGGGGTAAAGAAGGGCTATTACAGGTGCAAAGTTGCGACTAACATGCATCTCCAGCGTTCTGCGCTGGGTATAGCACGCACAAACGGGCGCGCATTAAGAGTTAGCAATCTGTCTCTGCAACTGTTTGGATGCGGCAAAATAGCAAGATTATGAGACTCACTGGTGTCCCTAGCCCGTAAATAAAACCAGAACTCAACTTTAGTTCATAGTTCTAGCCATTGTGCTCTGTTGGTGCTAATGCAGCATCGACGGCAGCATCAATGGGAGGCGGGGTAGGTTTCCGTCGAGAGAGCGTTCATGATATACTGGCCAAAAGCAGTGCATCGCAATTGAGCCATTTAGAAGAGAACCGATTGACTTATTCTAGAAGTGGTTCTACTGGTAATGTAAATGCATACACAGAAGCAATGATCATGAGAAGAAAGAACCATCGGAGGAGTGAATCAGCCGACCCACAGCAGCAGTATGAGATCATCACGCCTCCGCTCCCCTCTTCTCCCTCAGTGTGCACGTTTATAAGTGAGTGACTTCCCCTCCTCGCATTGCCTTTTCCCAATCACTAACCGCTCAGATTCACTGCCACCTTCGTCGACAATGGCAGCCCTCAAAGGTCTACGCTCAACCTACCGCCTGAACTCCGGCCACGAGATTCCCGTCCTAGGATATGGAGTAAGTCCTCGCCCGCCCCCTCACGCACCTCCACAACATTACTAAATGCAGACAGGTCTACATGATGTAAGTCAATTCCTGCTTCGCTTGCATGCAAATGCCGCAGTGGCTCACTCTGCCAAAGCCCCCAATCCCAAACGGAAAAGGCCACCCTTGAAGCTCTCGGAATCGGCTACCGTCATGTATGCATGCCTCTTTTCTCCACCCTTCTCGCCCCCAAGAGCTCAATCTAACGCGCATCCTTACAGGTGGACTCGGCAATCATGTACCGCAACGAGAAAGCCTGCGGCCGCGCCATCGCAAATTCCGGCCTCGACCGGTCGGAGATCTTCTTCACGACCAAGATTCCCCCGGAGAAGATGGGCTACACTCGCACCAAGAAGGCTATCGACTCCAGTCTGCGCGAAGCGGAGCAGGAGTATTTTGACCTGTGAGTTGTCCCTATACCACCATCTCCTTCCATCAAGTCTCGCTGGTATTGCGGGACACTGCAGCGGAAAAAAAAAGAACAGAAAAACTAACAACGCTGACAAGCATCCTTATTCATGCCCCTTACGGCGGCAAAGAAGACCGTCTAGGCTCCTGGCGAGCGCTGGTGGAAGCCAAGCAAGCGGGCAAGACGAAATCCATCGGGGTGTCCAACTACGGGGTTCACCATCTGGACGAGCTGGAGGAGTACATCAAGAATGGTGGCGGCGGGCAGATCGACGTCGGCCAGTACGAGTTGCATCCCTGGTGTGACCGCCCCGAGATCGCCGCGTGGCTCCAGAAGCGCAACATCGTCGTTCAGGCCTATTCGCCTCTGGCGCACGGGACGAGGATGAGCGAGCGAGTACTCAAGGCATTGGGCCAGAAGCATGGCAAGTCGCCGGCGCAGATCATGATCCGGTGGGGTTTGCAAAGGGTAAGTCGTGGAACGAGTCTCTTCTATCTTTGCCACGTATCCCGCTCAAGTTGGTTCTAACATGACATCTGTAGGGCTTTGTCCCCCTTCCCAAATCGGTGACACCCAGTCGGATCAAGGAGAATGCGGAGGTGTTCGATTTCGAGCTGTCGGAGGAGGATATGAAGGCATTGCAGACGGGGGTCTACTCGCCCACGGACTGGGATCCGACGGTGGATTATGATTAGACAGCTGTATGCCTGGCAGAAGAAGTCTGTAGACAATGAGAGACAAGACTGAGGTGATTATCGTCAACGATGTACTGGGCAAACAAGAGAGTGAATGAGGATATGCAAATGTAGATGTAAATGAGCGGGCGGGCCGAGTCGAAATCGCCGATCGGAACGAGGGCCGCCGTCCAGAATTTGACCCCGCGGCGCGGGGTTTGGCTGCTTAGCAATTCATCCACATTCGTCCGTTATCTTCCTCTACCCTCTTCGCATTTCTCCAATCCTTCCAAGTCCTCATTCTCCTCTGACTCCCACCCCCCTTGCATCCGAATCGTCTGCCCTGCACATATTGCAGGGTGCTCGGGGATCAAATCACCATGAAACTAATCCTCTCCACCTCGTAAGTGGCGACCCCAGTGGAAATCCCGGCACTCCCTCCTCCCAATTCCACCTCCATCCCGGCCGTGATCCCGGCGATCGCCCGGGGGAACAAAGACAACGAAAAAAAAAAAAAATCCCAGTATCCCAGTCCACCAAGCCAATCAAACTAACACACTCCCAGAAATCTGATGCTAGGCGGCCATCCCATCATCCGTCAACTGACCGAAAAGTCCAATGTTGAGCTGATCAACTCCCTGCGTGCCAACTTCCAAGCCGCGCAGCAACAGCGCAGCGACGGGGCCCCGACGACGGCGACGGCGACGGCGACAACGACAGCGAAAACAGAGCAGGGAGCATCGCGCTACGCATCGTGGACGAAACAACACGACGACACCCTATACATCCCATCCACGGAGTTCGGGTACGGGCTGTCGGAGGAGCGGTCGGCGTACGACATCACCGTCAAACTCTTCTACCTGCCGGGGATCCCGGCGTCGCGGCGGTGCGCGCACACGCGGGAGGCGATCGACCTCGTGCTCCGGGAGCTGCACGTCGACTCGATCGATCTGCTGATTGTCTCGTTTCCGGGTATCTTGTTCGACGCGGATGATGATAGCGAGGTGGAGGAGGAGGACGAGGATGCGGACGCGGATGGGGCCGCCGGGTCGTCGGATGCCGGCAGCGAGGAGGATGATTTCGACAGTATCGTCCAGACGTGGCGGACGCTGGAGGGGCTGCAGGCGCAGGGGATGATCAAGCAGCTGGGCGTGGCGGAGTTTGGCAGCGAGCGGCTGGCGCGCTTCCTGCCGCATACCAAGGTCAAGCCGTCGGTGGATCAGATCAACCTCAAGGACTGCTGCGTGGTGCCCAAGTCGTTGATCCTGTACGCCAAGCAGGAGCGGATCCAGCTGCTGACGCACAACGACTGCATGGATATCCTGCCCGTTGGCACGACCCGGGAGCTGCTGGGGCCCGGCGCCAAGGGCGCGGGCATCCTCGCCTCGGCGCCGGACGCGGACGATGGCATCCAGGGCGACGTGGCGCCGCAGTGGGTGGTCAAGTACACGGCGGTGGTGAAGGATCGCGGGGTGGTGGAGAACAAGGGCTACTTTGCACTGGCGGACGTGGGCAGCTGCGTCAAGCCATGATGTGTGTGATATTGTGATCTGCAAGCATTCCACAATTTGCATGGGGCAGCGCGGCGTTTCTTTCTTTCTTTTTTTTTGTGTACTTCCTTGAAATTTAGTGATGATAAATGAAGCATAGTTCTATCCATTAATCTATCCCCATCAAACCAGTCTCCTCTCCCGCCCCCTTTTCAAGCCTCAGCCCAACATACTCTTCTTCCTCCCGCGCAAACGCACCTCCTCTAAACGCTTCAACACCGACGCCGCCCCGCGATAACTAGCGCGATACCCGTCCAACACCTCAGCGAAGAACGCCTCCGTGCGGGGATGGGTACTCCCAAACGCGCGTTCAAGCACATACAAATCCACCGCGCGATCCTCATCCTGGACACTCTGACTCGCGAGGCCGAAATCGATGAGCACGACCTCGCCCTCCAGATCCACCTCGCCCTCGCCCTCGCCCTCCTTCTTGGAGGACGCAGGCCTCAGAATGAGATTACTCGTCGTCAAATCCCCATGGATCACCCCGGCCGCATGCAACCGGCCAACGGCGGCCCCAATCCGCCGCAGCAGGTCCTTCATCCGCTCCTCCTCGCGCTTGCGCTCCACATGTCCGTTGTCCCCGTGGTCGCTATGGTCGCCATGGCCATCCACCTCCATTTGCACCTCAGACCCAGGCCCAGACCCAGACCCCCCATCGGCCTGTCTCCGCCGAGACGAAGGGCTGCGATCGTCCGCCGCGAACCGCGCCAGCATCGCCCGCTCCCACGCCTGCACCACCACCCGCACCACATCGCCCTCCACCCACTCCATCAGCAGCCACGCCCCGCCGTACCGCTCCTCGCCCGTGGCCGCGTCCACCACCACCGTCTGCCCCTCCCAGTCCACCGCGTACAGCGCCGGCACCGCCACCCCCTCGCGCACGAGCTTGGCCAGACACCGGGCTTCCTGGAGGATGCGCTGGCGCGTCAGGCGTCGGTCCAGGACCGGGTGGCGGTAGGGCTTCGAGGGCCGGATCTTCAGCGCCGCCGGGTGGGTGGTCGCGTTCAGGTAGTGGGTCTTGTAGAGGTGGGCTTCGGCGCCCTGCGTGAGGAGGATCGGTGGGGGTGGCGTTGTTGTGGTAGTAGTAGTAGTAGTAGCTGGTGATTGTGTGCGGTGTTGGTGGTGGTGGTGGAAGGGCGGGGGGAGAGGTGGGGGTTGGTATTCTTCGATCATCTTGGTTGTTCTTGATCAGTGGGAAGGAGGTCGGATTCGGTGGGGTTCGTCGGATGGTGAAGAGGGTGATACAACGTGCACAGGCAGGTGGGTTGGTCAATTGAGACGAGTTGGTGGTTAAGAAAAAGGTTAAGGTAGGTTGAGGTTGTATAGACAGTGGCAGAAGAGGAACGAACGGCAATGCGAAAAGTTCTGGCGGGGCCTTCCCTCCCGCCGCGGTTATTAAGCGCTGTCCGCATTTGGCTGTCAACTACGGAGTAGACGAGTCGACTACGAGGTACCTGACTACTCGTGTAGACTATCAAGTTATGCTGTTATGCTGCTGACTCTCAGGATTGCTACTGCGTCACTCACTACACTCATACGCCCCACATCAAGCAAGCATCCATGATATCTTATTCAGATTCATTGAATTGTCTTTCGTCTGCTCGTAAAATACAAGACAGCCGCCTACCTCGCGGTAATCGCTAAATCATGACTGTACAGTACACTACTAAACGCCTGGTATGCGACCGACTTTTCCGTGTCCAGAATCAAATCCCTTTTATACAAGCCCCTCCCGGCCTCAAGCCCGCGCCTTGCGCTTCGCTCGCGCCCGCTCCTGAGGTGCCTCGTAGACATCCGTCCACGCGTCTTCGAACGTCGTCTTCCTCGGCCCAATCTGGCCCTCGAAGAAGTTCATCTTGCGTACAACTTCCATCGCACCGGTACCCAGCGACACCGTCTTGCCCATGATGATACACTCGGACACACCCTCGATCAGATCCGTCCGGCCGGCACCGCCGGCATCGAACAGATGGTCGGCGGTCTTTTCGAAGGACGCCAGCTGCAGGACCGAGTCACGCATCTTGGCGAGACCGAATCGCGTAATACCCAGAACTTCACCCTTGTAGGTCATGACGTCGGCCAGAAGCTGCATGTGTCGGGGATCAATGTCCATGTCCTTCATGACCTCGCTGATTTCCTGGACGATCGTCGACCGGGCCGCTTCAATACCGAGCACTTCGCGCGTCTCCATGATGTTGTTAGTGGTCGTGCGAAGACCGTCTACACCCATCGTGGTCATACACGCCCTCAACCCGTAGCCTTCCACCAGAAGGGTGTTGGTGGTCGACGTCTCATCCGTTCGGATAATCGCACGGTAGGCCTGGGGGTGACCAAGCACCTGGATATCAGGGAGCATCCGCTTCAGATGCTTCAACCGCAGGAAAGGATCCGCACTCGTGTGCGCAATCTCGGTCTTGGATAGAGATGCTTTGCTAGACGGCTCAACATCCATGTAGACGTGGATGTGTGAGCGCGAGCATCGGAACTTGAGATCGTCCGCCTTGAATCGCTTGTGGTTCTTGATCGCAGCCAAAATGTTCTCAATCTTCAGCTCCAGCGCCAGATCCTGGATAGTCTTCCAGTTGATCTTGACGGTGATGTAGGCTTCCTTGCCAGTCCATGTCTCGCGAACGTAGTGGATAATGTCGCGAAGATACGTCTGCTCAATACGACCCTTGACAATACGGGCGGCAATGATGTTGTCCTTGGTGACTAGCTCGCAAGCAACGACAGGCGTACTGATCTCTTTGGAGGCGTTGATGATTTCCTTAATACGGGGGACACCCTGAGTGATACTCATACCGGCAACACCAGCAAAGTGGAAAGTCTTCAACGTCATCTGCGTACCGGGCTCACCGATAGACTGCGCACCGACGGCACCAACAGCATGGCCGGCTTCAACCTGAGCCTTCTTGTACTTCATCAAGCACTCAGTGATGAAAGTCCGCAGGGTGCGCTCAGTCAGCTTGCCCGTGTGGTTCAGACCCTTTTGACTTCTTTCATCAGAGGGATCGATGTCACCACCGCGAGAAATCAGCTTGTCCGCCTTGGTCGCAACGTACTGCTGGATGGACTCGAGGAAATCACGGGCACTCTCAAATTGGTCAATGCCGTGGTCACTGCGGTCCATGTAAGCCAGAGTGTTGCCCATCAAATCCTTCCGTACCAGCTTGGCACGTTCTTTCGACAGCATCTCCTCGCAGACTTCCATGATTTCAGCAGGAAGCAGACTCGGCTCGTCATTCGAATAAGTGATGGATTCTGAATGGATGAAAGTCCGGTCAAAGTGAACGGGCTTGGCCTTGCCCTCCATATCCACCGGATCCAGCTTGTCGTCACCATACTGGAACTGGACAATCGCTGCGGACGAGTTGCGGACGGTATCATCGTACCTGGTGGAAAGATCTTCCAGGGATTTCATCAACCGACGAGACATGTAACCGGTTTCGGCCGTCTTGACGGCAGTATCGACCAGACCTTCACGACCGGACATGGCGTGGAAGATGAACTCCGTAGGGGTGAGACCCGAGAAGAAACTGTTCCGCACGAAACCCTTCGATGGAGGCTGACGGGCATTCTTCGGGAAATGAGGCAAGGTT